AAAAAATTAAGAACTAAAAAAAGATGTATATGTATGAAAAGGTCATGTCTTCAGAAAACTAATACGTTTTGAACAGTGAGTCTCAAGAGGAGAAAAAAAACCTCTCAGCTCAATGCATTTAAGCATACAGAGATGGTCAAGCTGACTTGCTGAAGTTCAAACTTAAAATCAGAACGAAGAAGAAAGCTGATTGACATTACTTTAAACATGGCACGATTGTTGGTGTTAGATGGGCTGGTCTGAGTAGTTTAGATACTGGAGATCTACTAGGATTTCCCCACACAACCATCTCTAGTGTTTACAGAGAATGATCTGAAAAAGAAACTGTCCAGTCAATGGCAGTGTTCTGCGGTAAAACACAGTGTTAATGTCAGAGGAAGGTTAAAATGACCAGGCAATAATCACTCGTTACAACCAAGATATGCAGAAGAGCATCTCTGAATGCACTACATGAAACAGATTTACTACAGCAGCAGAAGACCACAATGGGGGCCACTCCTGTCAACTAAAAACAGGAAACTAAGGCTACAGTTTGCACAAGCACATGACAACAGAAGATTGGCAAAAAATTTTTTTACTGGTCTAATGAATGTTGACTTCTGTTCTAAATTTCAGATGGTAAGGTCAGGATTTGGTGTAAATTACATTAAAGCATCCACACTGGCTTGTTTCAAGGCTGCTGTCTGTGGTGTAATGGCCTGTTAGAGATTCTTTGTACACTTTGAGTCTCTTAGCTGAAAATCAATTAAATACCACAGCGTTCCTGAGTATTGTTCCTAACCAAGTCAATCTTTTTATAACTACACTGAACCCAACTTATGACTGCTATTAAGAACAGTATCATTACACAATGTCACAAAGCTCACATTATCTCAAACTGGTTTCTTGGCTAAGATAGTGAGTCCGCTTTCCTCAGGCGCCGGATCTCAATCTAATACACCAAATCTGGGATGAACTGGACTTGGAGATACTCATTATGAATGTGCAACTGCTGCAAATCTGCAGCAACTGTGTGATGCTATCGTGCCAACATAGACCATGAATAAGGAAGGCAGTTCTGGGGGTCGAACCTAGTGCTAGCAACGTTTACCTAATGAAGTGCCCGGTGAGTGTACCGTTACAGAAAAATAAAGTGAATCCTCAAACTAAGAACAAGCACCGGAGTCACTACACAGGAGAGTAAACACATGCATTATTTTCATATAACATCATTTAACGTGTTTTCAGCTGGTTATAACTTAGCGTTAAAACTACTTCGGTTTACATATAAGTCTTACCTCGATTGAGTTAGGTTAACGCTGTCTTATGTCAAGATTAAAAAAGGAAGAAGTAGAAGACGAAGAAGCAGAGGTTAGTCCCTGGCGTCGTCGTTACACTCGCCCGTTAAAGTTAACAATGCTTTGCTTATCAAAATCTCACCAGCTGTAACACATCAAACTGTGCGACTTAATTTTATAACGACGCCGTCCCGCCAAGAAACACGTAACGGAACGTCACCATACGTCACACGTCTGCCTGTGACCAGAACCAACGCTCAACTGAACTTTCAACTTTCAAAGGCTCTGCCTGTCACACATCAAGGGATGCGGCGCCCCCTGCTGGTCGAGAGGGAAAACACATATGTGGACAAATACAACAGGTTTGTTTTCTTTATCATACCGTTTACCATATTTACTATAGTTAACCCGCATGTATATGAAATGAAATACTTGCTTTTTAAAAATATTAGTGGCTGAAGAGTGGTATGGAACCAATGTACATTTTTTTTAAATCCAAAAACACAGTTTATTGAAAGACAAACACAGTTTATTCAAGACAAACACAGTTTATTGAAATACGCCTTTTATTCCTTTACTTGCAAAGTTTTGTCTCATCATTCTCTCTCTACTATTTTCAAGTATTTGCTCTTGAGAGTAAAAGTGTTAGACACGGTGCCATAAATCATACAATGAACCACGAGTTTAGATGTGACCCAAGGTGTTTCCCCTGCACGCTGAACTGACAATCTCGCCTCGACTTCCTCAGGTCCATCAAACAAAACAAAGCAGGATGAGGTTCAGTTGTGATGCAAGATTATGATTTGTGTAAGCAGCTAATTTGCACCTCTACACCTGACACCGTTAAAACTGAAACACTA